GTAGAAGTATTGTCACAAATAATAGCATTTTATTACAGTGTCATTAGGTTCTTATTCATGTTTAATTTCTGGCAATACAAAAATTCTTTATCAAGATGTACCAAATAACCAGTACTGCTTGTTTTAACTAGTAGGTCACCCAGAAAGGGTGAGGAATACCCCCAAAAAGTTGCTTTCAAACCACTATTGCTAGCATCATTATTTTTTCATAAGCTGCTTTTATTGTGCGCTTTGTATATATTTTCATCAATGCCTTGGAAAGACATATTTAGCCCATTAACAGATGGTTACTATCTGCCCTGTAACTGAGTTAGCTGAGCCAGCTCTTGTGTCTAAACAATGAGCAGTACTTACCTGAGTTTTCAGGACCACCATTTTACTCCCCAGCTTTTCCTGATTATGGCTATGTGCTTCGTATAGAAAAGGAAAAACAAGAACTGAGTTTAGATTATTTCTGTTCTTCCATCCTAAATTATCTTTGAATCATTTTGGTGACATTTGAGATTTCATATGTGTCAAGTACTTCAAGAAATAAAACACTAAAGCTCCAAGATCAGTGACAAGGCATTCAGAGCCTCCACATGGGTACATCCATTCTAGCTGCTCTCCCTTATCACCTCTCCCCTTGCCAGTGACTGACTATTATTTCTAACCATTTATCCTTTGGCTGATGGTAGTTTGGAAGTGGTATGGTTTCATTTCCATATCTTACAGATTTAGAAAGATTTTTTTTAGAAAGAAATTTGTAATGGGATATTCATGACAGTAATATTCCACAAAACAAAAATTTGGAATGTATAAGTTTTCTTTATAGAAATTTATGGATAATTTAGAGATTGTTATGGTCTATTTAGTTCATTTACTCAACAACTATGTATTGAGTCACCCTATGTACAAAGACTGGAACTATAGCAGTAAATATGTGAACAAGACAAGACACAGATGTGGTTTATCGTGGTTAGGAATCAAAGAGTAAAAAAAAGAAAATTGAAAATTAGTCATTCCCTAAAATGGTGAGAACATCTGTGTGTAAGAATAAGGTGCTATTAAAACATGTAAAAAAGAATTGATCTCTTACCAATATTGGGGAAGGTTTTATTGGCTATGTGACATTTGGTCAGATGGTTAAAAAATGAGATACTATAGCCATCTTGATTAGGGACTGTTGAACAAAAGTATATCCAAGTGTGCTGAGATTAAAATAAATATTTTAAAGTTTTTTTTAAGGGTCCGTAAGTCAGGGAGATGGGCAGAGATACTGAAAACACTCAAGAAAGGGCTGGAGAGGAGACACAAGCAGATGATTCCAAGGCTGTCTTGTAGATTTTCATGATTTTGACTTTTATCTCAAGACCGGTGAGCACTGCATAGATTCAGGGAATGAGGTGAAAAATCTAATGTTCACTGAAACAAACCTCCTTCTGGGCCAGAGGGAAAACTGTAGCATGATGCAGAATTCTTCTGCAGGGGTCCAGGAGAGCGAGAGTTAATGCCTTTGGGTGGGGGACGGTTCAGGCAGGGTGGACACCCTACAGAGATGGCTAGGTTGAAAGCAGGCACAGTTTGCACAGAACAAGATTCCTTAGCATCCTAGGAAGCTTAATAGCAATGGCTACAGCAGTGTATGTTCAAAAAATGCCAATGCTAAGAGGATGAAGTAGAAGGGAACTTCTATTCTTGTCCTCTGTTCTTTCTGCCAATTCTGGGCACTTTTCTTTCTAGAAATATTACAGCACGATGAGATGCAGAATTCTACTGAAATAAAATCCACTGAAAGTGTACTGCATTAGCTTAAAAATCTTCAAGCAAATTTCATCTACCCTATACATGTCACCAGTCTATGCAGTAGGGGCACAAAGAAGACCAGGCCATTTGGTCTTCTTTGTGGAAGAAGGAATTTGGCCATTGCCTTTAACATCTCACTGCCCAGTAACGCCCACAGAATTGTGGTGCAATGCTGTTCTCAGTGGTGTAGGGACCAGCAGTGCTCTCCAGATTCTTACTGTTCTGCCCAATGAACTGGACAGAACACCTGGTGAATGTGAAAGATTAACATTTATTTTATGGCAAAAATAAGAATAAAGAAAGGTGACAAAGCACAAGAAAAGAGCTCAAAGAGGAAAGTGTTCTTGGACAGAGAATGAAGATATGTCCTGCAAGGTGGATGGATCACTGCAAGAACAAGCGGGTGTGGGTACAAAGTCAGTTGCTGCCATCTTCTTTGATAGTCGATTGAGTTGATCCTGCTTGATCTCGTGCAAGAAGACTGGTATCAGATACTGAGTTCAGCCTCCACTCCTGTCAGAAGATTGATATCTGGTGCCAGCTTTGACTGTGTTCTTGTGTGAGAAGATTGGTACCGGATGCAGGGTTGGGCTTGATCGTGTGTCATGCTCAGAAGCTGCTGCTCTGTGCCCATGGTTAATAAGTCTCTTCACCTGGCAGGTTGTGCCCGATTGCTCCAGCCACGTTGCTATGTCCTAGTCTCCTGCCTCAATACTAGGGTTGTTTGGATTTGTTCATGAACAACACCACCCTCTAGAAAGTATGGAAGAGCCAGGATCATCCTTGTGGTGGTTCTGAGAGCAGGTTCTGAAGTCTGGGCTGGAGTTCAGCATATCCATTTACTAACTTCCTCATCTAAATGGCCAAAATTTGCTCATATAACAAAAGGAATTAATAATTGTACAGTACTTATAAGGAGCCTCTGACAGTATGTGGCATGATACATAAAAATTGTCAGTAGTTTTAGCACAGAGCAACTGCTAATAAACCTAATAAACTAGCTATTTTTATTATATTGTTACAGGCAAAAGGACAATCAGCCATCTGGAACAAGTAAGAAAAGGATTTACAGGATGCTTTATATATTATTTAAAAGATACATAGTCTTCCTTCAGTAAATTCTAACTTAAAGAATTAACATGTGTTTTAACAATAAAATAGATTTCTGAGAATTTATGAACACTATAATGGTCTTTTATTTAATCCTTGTCCAACCCCCAAATGAAATACCATTATCCAACCAGAACTATAGCTCAGCGGTACAGTGCCTGCCTGGCAAGAACAAGGTCCTGAATTTGATTCCCAGTACCAAAAAACCCCCAAAACAAAAAGAACAACAGCAAAAAACAGACCCCCCCATGCACTTGAAGAAATACCATTATCCTCATTTTAGAAATAGTTGCCATAAGCCTCCAAAATATCAGTTGTTTGCCCAAGATTTCATACAATAATAGGACTAACAAACTGGAAATTTAAGTCTGACCTAATTGAATCCAGAGAATTTACCATTAACTTCTACAGTATATTTCCTTCTTTACCTAAAGGTGCTGCTGAATTTACCTTTTGATTATAATGTATTCCCTCAACCAATGTGTACTAAAAATACACTGTTATCGAGTCAATGAAATTTCTACAGCATTCTATCTGCACATTTTTATTTTACCAACCAAAGTTTATTGTAAAAAAACAAATTTATAAGGGAATAAAATCATTTCTGTTGTTCCAGTTAACATGGATAATTATTATAGGCATTTTCTGGAAATATTTTGAGACATCTTTCTCCCAGTGCTTTGATATATGGGTGTGGGTGTGGGTCAAGCTGTATTTTTATGACAAGATAAGTGGGCTCAGTCCGTAGATATTTTAAATTAGCAGTATATTTCAAAACTCTTCATGTTTGGTGTAGTCACTCTTAGCACAGTTCATGGCACATAATAAAGGCTCATGAATTCTGGTAGTGATTGTCATTGTGACTGTAATTCTAACAGCTTGCCTTTGCTGAAGCTGTAATAAATTGATGCCCCACGATATGTGGGAATATTCTTTTCGATACACTTTCACATCTTCCTTGTCCTTTTTCCCTTAAATTTTTACTTTTTTGCCAACTGTGAAGATTAAAACTGGAGTTATGTTGTTTTATGTGGCACTTATCTAACTATAATAGTTAAGCATTAATTTTTTTTTCAAATTCTTCCTTTACTTGTTCTTTTACTTTGCTGTTCTTTTCTTATTGGGGTATAAGAACTCTATGCTGTGAGTGTTATATGTTAAGTGCGTATTACAGATATTTCACCAGCTTGGGACTTGATTTTTTAAGTTTATGTATTAGGTTTTTTTCTTTAAATAAGTAAGTTGAAAATTAAGTAATTAAATTTAACAGTCTTTCTGTTTTCTTCTTTTGTATTTCACAAATGTCTTACACCTATTCATGCAATATAATATGTGTTTAAGTTGACAGAGATTGAACTTGTGAATTTAAGTGCATGCTAGGTAAGCTCTACCATTGAGCCACATCCTCACATAATATGGCATTTTTCACATTAAAAAATGGAAAGTATTTTTTTAAAATCTGGGGGCTTCTGAGAGAACATAATAAATCAAATGGGACATAATAAATCAAATAGGAAGAAGTTAAAAGGTTCTCTGCTTCTGGGAGAGTTTCAGTGGCTTGTAGATCTTTAACAAGTTTGTTGCTTGTCAAAATCTGAAAATATGAGGGTTTTCTCCTTTTGTTTTATTGAAAGTATAGTGTCTTGTTTCACAGGTAATCCACTACAAAGTGCAACACATCAAAAACTCTCATGTTGGTAGTACAGTTGAGACTTCTGAGGCAGGGTGTTAGTTATGTTTTTGAAACTGGATAATAGCAGTGGTTACATACTTTCAGGTCTTCTACAATGTTTATTATGAAGAGAAAAATATTCTCACTTCTCAAAAAACCATGCACTATTAAGTGTATAAACCCCATGTGTGTCTTGTTTGTGGACTTGAAATGATACTGACAAATGTTCAAATGAAACTATATTATTTAGTAACTCAACTTTAGACAAACAGGTCGCTTATTAAGTTCCACAATAAGAAGCCATTTAATGAATTACCTGTATTACAAAATTCACCAATTACAGTAAAAATGCCTTCTCCCTCTACTTAAAGAGACACATGATTTTATGAACATTTTAAACCCACACTTACCTGAAAATATCTTTTTCTTCCAGCTTTTGTTTCTACCAGTCTAATATCATAAATGGCTACCGATGGCAGTGCTCTTGTAAGTATCCTTTGGAACACCTTGGACTTTAGCTACTGTCAGATGGATGAATAAATGAAATGGTAGACAAGTTGATTTTGTTTGGGTCTCTATTTATTGTCCTCCATTTCATTATCCACAATAGAATCAAATGACCCTACTGTTATGTTCCAAGGTCATATAGTCACTAACCATTTAAAAATCCTGATTATTTAAGATCGATAAGTATAGTCTTGCACTGAACAAAAATTATCTCTATGTTGCAAAGAAATGCCAACTATGGCATTAGTACAACTTCTCAGGCAACCACTGTTGGAAAAATTGTGTTTAATGATACTGAGATTGTGGATTTAAAAAGCTAATTTTATGGTCATAGGTTTGTCTAAGATAGGTATGTGAATTGAGTAAGTGTATTATCTGTATTAGATGAGAAAATTTATGCAAGGAAAATTGAACTGATTTATTTTATTTTTTTCTTATTAATTTTATTGGTACAACTTAGATATACAGAGCAATCACATTCAACATAGGGAATTTGTATCTGTACATGATGTATCTTGGTTCCTCTTTTTCCTCCAGTCCCCTTCTCTCCCTTCATCCTCTTCCTTTCCTTGTTTACAAAAGCTTTGCTTCCATTTTATCCTTCTTTTCTCATTTTTTCTTTTTCCTTTCTTCTTTTCTCCTCCATTTCTTTTCCCTTTCTTCTTTTCTCCTTTCCCTCTCTTTTGTCCTTTCCCTGTTCCCTAGTTTATTTTAGCAACATAGAATTTCTAATTGAGAGGGATGTGGTGTGGTGTGGGTATATGTAATGTGCACTTTTGTGAAAATCTAATGACCTCATGATGGAGGCATAGGACAGAGTTTGGGAGTAAAGCCAAAAGCTCAAAGCAGAACCAGCAGTGGTGCATCAGAAGAAGAGTACAGACTTCCTGCCAAATTGGGAGGGTGGACAATGGTTTCCTGGTACAAATTAGACAGTGCCTGTCAGGGCATGTTTCAGTAATAGTGATGGAGGAATGGAGTTAACTGGACAGCTCCTGGAAGGAACACCTTACTAAAAAGCAGGGCAGCTGATAAATTCCCTTCTTGGCTTGCTGACAGTGTCATATCCTGGAAATAGAGAAGGCAGACAATGCACTTTACATTTGGTGATAATTTAGAATAAGGAAGAAAAACTTGTTAGTGATGAAAAATAGTGGAAATTTCAGAAGTCAAGAATGCAAAAAATTAATAGTGAAAACAAAGTACAGTCAGTCATATATTGGTAGAAATTTGTCATCTAAATTGTGGAGAAAAGAAAAGTGTGTTCTTTTAAGCATTAATGTTTGGGTATATTTTGATAATAGAGTGTGAGTCATTACAATGATGATGAATAAGAGGAGGAACTAAGAGAACAAATGAAGTTGAAGTAAGACACTTGCTAAGAGTTTTTGTAAAAGCAAATTTGCAGGGTAATAAAAGAAGGTCTTATGGTCAATGGTAAAGCAAATGTACCTCATAGATCTGGAAAAATGGTCAGGAAGGTTGATGTTCACAGTGATTAAAGTTCATGCAAAGTTTTTAAAAGAAGAAATGTGCTTATAAGCAAATGTATATGCATTGCATGTGTACAGGACACAGAAATGAAAAAAGCATTAGGACTGTCAGATCCTTCAGAAAAGTAGTGCAGTGTTTAACTCTCACATTGCTTTGCCTTTTCCTCTGAAAGAATCTGATCTTCTAATGGGAAGAAGTTCATTTTATGTGTTTAAGAAGAAATGGAAATTAAGGCAATAAGAGAGCATGTAAGCACTTTAATGAATTCATTCATCTATTGAAATGCTCATTTAATTTCCACTCTGATTCTATCTTGTATCAAGAAAGGAACTGGAGACTTAATTGAATTTAGATAAGGTAAAATCTCCACATCTTAAAAAAGCTCTAACCTAGGTTTTAGAATAAAGATCACAGACCTTATCACCAAGGAACTAGCATGACCCATATCATCCCCAATCTAGAGCCATTACCGCTGCAACATGTAATCTGCTTCCATCGGTCCTGCGCACAAATAAATTCTGTTCGTTAGTGGAAACTGGCTATTTATGGATTGTTCTCATTTCACGAGCCATCCACCCTCTAGACTCAATCAGCCCAGCTCCCCTTGTGTGTCTGTTTACCTGTTATTTCTCTCTCATAGCTATCAGCGTCTGGGTGGGACTGCTTCATATCTCTCTTAAGAATTTCTTCCAGCTGATTTTCAGTTATCCTACTTTATCTTTCAATTCAGAAAATTAGTTCAATTTTCTGCTGTCATTTGCTCCCTTAATAAAATGTGGGACAGGAGACTTGTTTTTGTGCTAGATTGTTTCAGGGTACTTAATGTGTGCGACCCAGCCCCATCTCAAAGGACAGTTCCTTTATACTGAACTAACATCTACTGAGCTATATGTGCTCAACACTCTGCTTGGGAGTGGAGGCCAGAGATTAGCACCACACCATCTCATGACAATTTAAAGGCACTTTTCATGCCCCCAGCCTGATAGTCACTGAGGTTGGTGTGGTAAGTGGTACTCAGAATTTTAAACTAAATTCTAAGTATCAGAAATTTTATTGTATGTACTATTGGCATTTTTTTTGGTTGTTGTTAAAATGAGTTCTTTGCTACCTGGCAGTATTCTTTTCTTCCTTTTAAAGGAAACAGTAAAATTTTCAAAATTAGAGCTGAATATAGAGCCAAAAGTTCACCAAATTCTGCTTCTATATCTTACATATTTCTCCCTCCTTACAGCCATACGTGTCTCTTTGCTATTCTCACTGGACTTCTGCCTCTGCACTTGTTCCCCTCCAATCCACTCATAATGCAGCTCCAAGGTTGAATTTCCTCACGTGTAAGTGTGACTTACCTACTTATGCTGTCTCAGTGCCTGTCCCTTGATCTTCGTAGAAACTTTGTAGTTTAAAGCATAATTTAAAGGGCCCGATTGTGCTTTGTTACTGGTACAGTGATTTCCCTCTCCACTCCACAGTTGGTGCATGCTGGATCAAATCTGTGTTGCGGTATCAGATCTTATTACGTCTGGATCTTTATCTTTCAAGGCTTTGATATAATCATCTCATAGGCTGCTTCTCTGACTCCTCATTTCTGTGCAGTTTGGCTCTTTCACATGTGTTTCTGTTGCACCCCATTTTAACACTCATCTGCAGACCTTATTATCCTTGTGTAGTTGTCTGTCTTCCATGTTTGATGGAAGTTGTGGTATGAGCTTATTTGCCATTGAATTTCTGGTCCTTTGCACTGAGTAACTGAACAATAAGTGACTGTTGAATAAACAAAAGCCATAGTTTATAGATTGTGGCCTGATGGAAAGAATTCATGGAAATACTTTTAGGATCTGGATCACGATTTCTTGGGAGATCTTCAACGTAATTATTAAATTTGGTGCAATCCCTAAGCATCTTCAAGAGTCCACTTATGTGATTCTTGATATTAATAAGGCATTCATTCCATGACCTAAATCAGTACTGCTTTACTTGCTTTAACAATTAATTTCTCATTAAAGTGAATGAATGAGTCAATTAATTGATGTAGAATATTAGGAGTCTTCAAGACTTGATTAGAAAGTACTCTGGCCTTAGATTTTTGTAACAATGCTTTATCCAAGAAAATAAAACAGCCTCCTTTTAAGGATAACAAGGATCCAAAGAAATGAGGCAGATATTCTCTTTCACTATTATTCATAGTTCTTTTATCTAAAGTACCTAAAAGCTCTTGCTTTGCAAGATGGCTCAAGTACAGAAGAAAAGTTAGAATTTTCTCATGCTAAAGCTTTATTATGGTGGTTTTTTTGCAGATTTTTTTTTGGAAAAAAATTCCTTTATTACATATAGCCAGAAGATGAAATGTCAAGTGAAAAAGTTGTTCCTGAAACCAAAGTCTATGTGTATAATTCATGGTTGCTATCCTCAGTTTTTATGCTGCTAAGGAAAAGTTTCAAGAATGTTAATGAGCATGTATGTCTGACACTGTGGCTGGGTTATTTGCTATTATTTGGGTTCTTCTGTGGGATGAGGGTGGTACTCATTACAGATGGCACTTCCTGTGTTGACTTCACACAAAAAGGCTTCCCTTTATTACTCACAGGATACTTCTTGCCTGGTATATATTCGATCAGCTCAGGACTCATTTCTGCCCCATAAAATCTGCCCCACACAAGACTGAAGTACAAGTCAGGCTTGGGAGACTGTTTAGCATCTCTGCTTTCCCAGGACTTCATACGGGAAGGCGTGAGAGCTGTCTGGTGACAGCTGTGGGTGGAAGGAATCATTAGCTGTCATTGGTTCCCATGCCACCTCTGCCTCAGCCATTCTCTACTTCTTGGATTCCAGATTCTTGGCATTGAGACAGTTGAGACAGAATGTTGGAGAAAGGTATTGCACTTTCCAAGGAAATAATATTTTAGGGAGAACTAGATATTTGTTCACCAAAGGTCCATTTTGTCTTCAAGGAAAGAAATACCAGGAATAAACTCTCCATGTGGGTTCAAGTTTAATGTTGGTCAATCCCATGGGTCTTCCTTATTTGTGGGAGAGAAATCTGCTGGAGCAAATTTTACATTGCCTGATCTTGCTGACATCATTAGCTAGTAGAGGAAATTTGTGGCTCTGGGTTATCAAGCTATAGATGGCTGTCCAGATACTGTCAAATCTCCTCTGTATGCCAGACACACAGGAAGGCATTTTACTTACTAAAGGGATCATAACGAGTAAAAATTGATGAAAGACATGATTTTTAAAATCTTCTTATGTGTCAGATATTCTTATGTGTCAGATATTGGTCTTGGTGTCAGGTTTTAAGGGCATGGTATACTTGTTCAAGAACATTAATTCTATACTGAAATCTTGGCTAGTGACTGGCTTACTTTAAACGGTTCAGTGATGTGTTGTGTGGATTGTAGCAGGTCTACCTGGTAGATGGGGAGACCAGGAATAAGATGCTTATTGTTTAGTAGAGAACTGATAAGAATCTGACTAGGGTAGCAGTT